TTGGGACATTTTAAATGCAATTGATTCCTGTGATGGTGATGGCAGGCTGTTTCAAGCAGCCAATAAATACTCCAGTCTTCAGCGTCACCAGATTGCGCAGAAATCTTTTTAACATGCTAAATTGGTCCTCAAAAACATTTCCTATTATTAATAATGTAGAAAGCAGCTATGTAATGTAGATAAACACAAGAATTATATATTTTTTTAAAACACCTTACTGACCCCAAACTTTCAAACAGTAGTGTTAATAATAACAATAGTTCCTATTACTTGTTTCGCTTCGGTTTCAGTTTTTATAACCATTTCTTACTATGTGTCAGTAAGTTATTTTTTAGGATTACTGATAAACTGCTGTCATTTGATTTGTATTAGTTATTTATTTTAATTTTAGTTAAATGATGTCTGAATTTATTATGTCTGTATAGGTCTTTTAAGTTTTTAGTTTTATTGGAGTTATTTCAATACTTCAACAAACTAAATGAAAATGAAATATATATATTGAATTTATACGTGTGTATGTGTATGTGTGTGGCTGCACATACACATATGTAGTTGTTTTTTGGTGTTTGGCTTAGTGTTGTATTAGAATCATTATTATACTCATACCTTTTGTTCTTTAATATTTTGAATTTTTTTTAGCTTTATTTTTTGTTTTTCATTTAAATGTTAAGTTTTTAAATTTTGTTGTATGCATCTGTCATTTTTATTTAATCTCTTTATTTTTAAAATGTGTATAGGTAGTATTTATAAAGTTTTAGCTTTGGATCTGTTTTTAGTTGTTTTAATACTACAACTGATTGCATCTGTTGTCTTCATTTGTAAGACGCTTTGGATAAAAGCGTCTGATAAATGACAATATATATATATATATATCTCTCTCATTTAAAAATTTTTTTTTAAAGACATGCAGAATAACAACGCACATCCTCAACAGTGTATTGTAGTAATATACATTGCTTGCAAAGTTAATAAAATAGGATTGTTACACTCAAAGAAAAATATTTAGGCCTAAATGTAAGAATTTGCATTGCGTATAAAATGTCCATCAATTATTTTGAACAAACTTATAAACATAAAATGTGATGCTGATTCTAAGCAATCTGAATAAATGCCTTTTGAAAATTATGAATATTTAAATAAAACCAAAGAGTTGCAAATAGTTAACCTATGCCATGATGTTTTTTTTTTCTTCAGTTTATTAGTACAGAAATATTATTTATCAGAAATATTATCATTTCATTTATGCATGACTGACAGATATGTTTGTTTATGTTAAAACTGTGAAATCCAAACATATGAAAATTTGATATGCAATTCAAATACATAAATCCTACACTTAGGCATAAATATTTTACATAAATGTAAAGATTCAAAGCAACCAGCCATGTAAGTCCAAACAACAAAATATAGAAAGTTGATGATTTGTCAACGACGCTTGATATCATAACACACCTTCTTTGCCAAAGCAAAAGGGGACACGCATGACAAATAATATTTTAACTGCAGAAAGTGTACTGTACATACATTTGGCATTAATTTAGATGTAAATGCAATGGCTGCTCCAGGTGGAGTTATGATGTTCACACAAACATGAGTGTGAATGTGTATCACCAACAGTCTGATTCTCCACTGCATTTATTACGCTTAACGGGAATATATAAAGCATTTTGATTTAGATGCAAGAGATAAAGGTTATACCAGCTGCGGCTCCATAATGAGCCACGTCTACACACACACACACACACACACGCACTCACACACACACTCTCTCTCTCACTCACGCACGCATACTCTCACACACACACTCACTCTCACACACTCACTCACACACACACGCACTCACGCACGCATACTCACACACACGCTCACTCTCACACACTCACTCACACACACACGCACTCACGCACGCATACTCACACGCTCACTCTCACACACACACACTCTCTCTCTCTCTCTCACTCACGCACGCATACTCTCACACACACACTCACTCTCACACACTCACTCTCACACACTCACACCCACTCTCACTCACTCACACACACACACACACGCACTCACGCACGCATACTCACACGCTCACTCTCACACACACACACTCTCTCTCTCTCTCTCACTCACGCACGCATACTCTCACACACACACTCACTCTCACACACTCACTCTCACACACTCACACCCACTCTCACTCACTCACACACACACACACACGCACTCACGCACGCATACTCACACGCTCACTCTCACACACACACACTCTCTCTCTCTCTCTCACTCACGCACGCATACTCTCACACACACACTCACTCTCACACACTCACTCTCACACACTCACACCCACTCTCACTCACTCACACACACACACACACGCACTCACGCACGCATACTCACACGCTCACTCTCACACACACACACTCTCTCTCTCTCTCTCACTCACGCACGCATACTCTCACACACACACTCACTCTCACACACTCACTCTCACACACTCACACCCACTCTCACTCACTCACACACACACACACACGCACTCACGCACGCATACTCACACGCTCACTCTCACACACACACACTCTCTCTCTCTCACTCACGCACGCATACTCTCACACACACACACACACACGCTCGCTCACACACACACTCACACACACACACACACACACCTCCAGACGTAAGAGCTCGGCTCACCAGTATTCTTTGTTTGATTGCACTCAGAAACGTCAGAAGAGCCCCCTCACTCACACACACACGCTCTCTCACACACACACACTCTCACTCACACACACTCGCTCACTCTCTCACACACACTCGCTCACTCTCTCACACACACACGCTCACTCTCTCACACACACACGCTCACTCACACACACACACACGCTCACTCACACGCTCACTCACACGCTCACTCACACGCTCCCTCTCTCTCACGCACGCATACTCTCACACACACGCTCACTCACACACACGCTCACTCTCACACACACACACGCTCACTCACACACACACACACGCTCACTCTCTCACACACGCTCACTCTCTCACACACGCTCACTCTCTCACACACGCTCACTCTCTCACACACGCTCACTCTCTCACACACGCTCACTCTCTCACACACGCTCACTCTCTCACACACGCTCACTCTCTCACACACGCTCACTCTCTCACACACGCTCACTCTCTCACACACGCTCACTCTCTCACACACGCTCACTCTCTCACACACGCTCACTCTCTCACACACGCTCACTCTCTCACACACGCTCACTCTCTCACACACGCTCACTCTCTCACACACGCTCACTCTCTCACACACGCTCACTCTCTCACACACGCTCACTCTCTCACACACGCTCACTCTCTCACACACGCTCACTCTCTCACACACGCTCACTCTCTCACACACGCTCACTCTCTCACACACGCTCACTCTCTCACACACGCTCACTCTCTCACACACGCTCACTCTCTCACACACGCTCACTCTCTCACACACGCTCACTCTCTCACACACGCTCACTCTCTCACACACGCTCACTCTCTCACACACGCTCACTCTCTCACACACGCTCACTCTCTCACACACGCTCACTCTCTCACACACGCTCACTCTCTCACACACGCTCACTCTCTCACACACGCTCACTCTCTCACACACGCTCACTCTCTCACACACGCTCACTCTCTCACACACGCTCACTCTCTCACACACGCTCACTCTCTCACACACGCTCACTCTCTCACACACGCTCACTCTCTCACACACGCTCACTCTCTCACACACGCTCACTCTCTCACACACGCTCACTCTCTCACACACGCTCACTCTCTCACACACGCTCACTCTCTCACACACGCTCACTCTCTCACACACGCTCACTCTCTCACACACGCTCACTCTCTCACACACGCTCACTCTCTCACACACGCTCACTCTCTCACACACGCTCACTCTCTCACACACGCTCACTCTCTCACACACGCTCACTCTCTCACACACGCTCACTCTCTCACACACGCTCACTCTCTCACACACGCTCACTCTCTCACACACGCTCACTCTCTCACACACGCTCACTCTCTCACACACGCTCACTCTCTCACACACGCTCACTCTCTCACACACGCTCACTCTCTCACACACGCTCACTCTCTCACACACGCTCACTCTCTCACACACGCTCACTCTCTCACACACGCTCACTCTCTCACACACGCTCACTCTCTCACACACGCTCACTCTCTCACACACGCTCACTCTCTCACACACGCTCACTCTCTCACACACGCTCACTCTCTCACACACGCTCACTCTCTCACACACGCTCACTCTCTCACACACGCTCACTCTCTCACACACGCTCACTCTCTCACACACGCTCACTCTCTCACACACGCTCACTCTCTCACACACGCTCACTCTCTCACACACGCTCACTCTCTCACACACGCTCACTCTCTCACACACGCTCACTCTCTCACACACGCTCACTCTCTCACACACGCTCACTCTCTCACACACGCTCACTCTCTCACACACGCTCACTCTCTCACACACGCTCACTCTCTCACACACGCTCACTCTCTCACACACGCTCACTCTCTCACACACGCTCACTCTCTCACACACGCTCACTCTCTCACACACGCTCACTCACACACACGCTCACTCACGCGCACACACACGCGCTCACACACGCGCTCTCACTCGCGCTCGCTCGCGCACGCGCTCGCTCACGCTCGCTCACGCTCACTCACGCTCACTCACACTCACACTCACTCACACTCACTCACACTCACTCTCTCTCTCACGCACGCATACTCACACACATGCTCACACACACACACTCTCTCACACACACACTCTCTCTCTCTCTCTCTCTCTCTCTCTCTCTCAGCTGACTGACAGCATTCATCGCTATCTGTCGACAGAGACTCCAGTACAGCGCTCCTGTAAAGAAGGACAGTTCACACCATTAAACGAGCGTTTATTAACATACCGTTTGTCATTTTCGCAGCTTTCAAATCCTTCCTTCTTGTTGAGAAGAAGAGCAAGTTGTCAGTGGTCTTTTATTTACTCTCTTCATCAGTTCCGCAAAGACAGCACAGGCTTCCGGTGCCGCGGAATTATGGGAAATCACCATACAGAATAAAAGCCTTCGCTTTATTACAGAATAATAAATGATTAAATCAAAATATTTTAGGTTATCACTCTCACTCTCTCTATATACAATACTATATACTTTTATATAATGTATAAAATCCCATTATTATTATTAATAATAACAATAATATAGATTTTATAGCTAATGTTAGGCTATAGAACTTCATTTATTTCAAAAATAAATTGTGACAATAATAATAATAATAGTTAACTCTTTACAAAGTAAAGCTTACAGACTATTCTTTAATGCAGCAAAATTGTGAAAAGATCTGTTCTCTTTTGTGTAATTTGTAGCACAATATGTCATGTGTGTCTGATGATTTGAACATCATTTAGAGCAGCAACCCTACAGACCTGGTGCTTGCTTACTATCCTCAAATGATTTCAAATGATTTGCGACTGACATCTGAGTGATTGTTTCTCTAATAGCATCCTGGAGGTCCTGGCAGGGTCTCTCAATGACAGGAGAAAGAGAACATAAGGTGCGCTCAGCTGTCGTCTGACAGTACTTGGCAGCCGCTGTGCTGGTATGTTTTATTTCTGTTATTCCAGTGCCACAGTTAATGGGCTGTTGAGCTATTAGTGGCTTCCTCAGCTTTATCATGCTTTCTTCATGGTAAAATTGTTCTTCTGTTTGTTATCATAAAACAACACGTGGACCTTTAAAATAATCTATGAATCTTGTTCCACATGCTAAACAAATTTGATTCACTATAAACACATTTCTGCTTGGATATTGAGAGAACAGGTCTTAGTGGCTTGATTGCTCTAAGCAACAAAGCAGGTTGCTTCTGAACTCGCATGTAATCCACCATCTGCCGGGCAATGGGCATCATCCAGTCCAGTCGTTCCTCCTCCCGGAGATGCATTACGCAGGTAATCTGATGCCATTGGTTGCATCAAGCTGTGGAGCAACCAGCTTTACCTTTAAATCGGTGTGTTGCTCTTGCTGATTGACCTTTTGTTCAATATGCTGCTGTATTACAAAACACAGGGAAGATTTAACCTGCTTACAGATTTCATTGCTTTAGGTAAGGGACCGCATGTTTTCTTAGAAATGAATTTTTAGTCATTTTGAATGTGAATTTGTGACTGGAATACTATAACTTATGTTTACATGACATGTACTTTTGAATTTCATGCCTTAAATGAGATAATTTGTTAATATTAGTTAAAACATTTTAAATCAATATTATCATTATTATTAGTAGTAGTAGTAGTAGTAGTATTGTATTTAAATCTGCTCATGTTGCGTGGTACTTCTTTTTACAGCGTTGTTGAGCATGATAACCAATCACACGCGATTCTGTTGAGCTTTTGAATGCAATATCCAATCAGAGGCGTTCACGGAGTTTTGTTCAGTGCGCGGCTGCGCGCGCTCGCTGACTGAATTCTGCACTCTGGCAAATGTTCCCATCATTAACAAAAAAAATGCAGATGTACATATGATGTAAGAAAGAAATTAATTTCACAGTGTAGACAGCTTCATTGATGCTCAATGTTCTCTGCTCGCTTTCTGTACAAATGATTCTGTTATATAATATAATAACCGTGGAAATGAAAGCGTTTGAAAATTAAATGAAAGCAATTAACAATGTTGGGAAGGTTACTTTGGAAATGTAATAGGTTACAGATTACAAGCTACCCTATTTAAAATATATCAGTAGTGTAACTTTTTCAATTACTTTATTAAAGTAATGTAACTGATTACTTTTGATTACTTTTCTAAATTTCTAATGAATGTTTACTTGCAACTGTTAAAGGGGTGGTTCACTGGGTTTTTTCTAGGCTTGATTGTGTTCATGGGGTGCAGTCTAACATGTGTTAATGCTTCGTTTTTTTAAAAACGCATTATTTTTTACATAATTTACGTTTATGCCTCACGCTCCGTCCCTTCTCTGAGAAACGCGCTGATCATTTCCTGCTTTTATGAAGCCCCTCCCTCAGAAATAGGCGATGGGCTCTGATTGGTTAGCTAGCCCAGTGTGTTGTGATTGGCTAAACCGCCTCTAGTGCGCGTCTAAAC